AAAGGATTAAATCCCTCTCTAGCAATAGCTATTACCGTCATGTTTTCCGTATCACTATCAAAGACTAAGACTGAGAAAGATGACTAAGAAAGAAAAGAAGAAGAAAATAGTCTGGTTTGTTCTTATTGAGGGTGAGGGTGAGGGTGAGGGTGAGGGGGGTATTTTGATTTACTGATAAAAGCGTCTAAACCGCCCAGTTTTTTGCCGGTTTTTCACCGTTCTCGAAATTCGTTGAAAACCGGCCGGTCTTTTTGCCGTTTTTCATCGGTCTAAAAAGATTTTTGGGCCGGCCAGTCACCGGTCGATCCGGTCCGGTCTGCTGTTTTGAACCGGCCGGCCCGGCCCGGCCTCTTATTTTTAGACCGGTTCCAACTCTGGTACAAGGGTTAAAAAGATTTAAAATTTACATCATTCGGTAGAAAAATAAATTCTCTACAAAATGGCTCATTTTTTCGCCAATTCGACTTTAGGTACAAGACTTATGCCTTTTTGATGTTTCAAGTTTCCAGTCAACTTTAAAAGTCTGAAAAAATGTTTTTCAGCTTTTGTTTTCATATAAATCGATCGAATATCACGAAATCTATGGTAAATATTAAGATCAATTATTTTGGGAGGACATTAAGTGCCTGAAAATTCACCTCAAAAAGTCACTTACATCGACATAACAGACAGACTATTTCATTTCTCTCAAACACATAGTTAGGTATGAGAAAGGAGATAATTGTCTGTCGAAATACTTCATTCGGAGCGAAAAGATTTGTTGACTTTGTAATCGAAACGTAGAAGTCATAGAATAAAGAAGCAAACACTGTTTTGCCTGACTGGGATGATCGAAACACATGGCATTGCTACTGTATATATGTTTCGATCGTCTGTTAGCTCAGATAGTTATGTGTTTGCTTCTTAATTCTAGATACCCACGTTCAAATCCCACTGACGTCATGTAAGTACAAGTTGTTTTTTTTCTCTCCTTTGTTACTCTACTAGGTTGTATAGTCGTTCGTATGCATCGGTATATATCGTCCAAAGTGAAATTCAGTCCAATGTAATACTGGCCTAGACCAAAGTAAAATTCCACTTTGAACTATAGTTCAAAGTGGCGAGTCTGAAAACTGCTTTTAGCGTTTCCATTAGAAAAAAATGCGTCTGAACGCGTAATAAAAACACGCAAAAAGTCGAGTGAAAACATGTTTGCTTAAAACAAAACGCGTTTCAACGCGTCATTTGGAGTCCGATAATCTTTTAGATTCTTTTTTTCATGAGGGTGATTTATATTTTAATTTGCTGAGCCCTGGATAGATATTTGATTTTTTGAAAATAAGGTTACGTTCTATGTCCGTCTTCCGAACAAAATTTTCGATTTCATGTGAAACAGTAGGTGTTGTTATTTCGCTTTTCATTTTTCTCTGCTCATTTGTGATAAAAGTTCAATAGCTAGGACTCGAAATCCAAAAACTCAAGTCCGAGTTCAAGTCCGCCAAAAAATCTTCCAGCCCGGATTCGGACTCGCCCATGCCTGGTGTATATGTAGAGCCCGCCGATGTCTACAAAATTGCACTAAAATTATATTTTCAGCTTTTATTAGTTTTTAGATAATTGCATTTTAAGCAAAAAAATCGTAAGTCAGTCACGCATGAACAGGCCGTATAGATGACATCAGAATAATCAAATCTTTCCATGATTCCTCAACATTTCCTTGGACTTGCTGGTCTACTCTAGTTCAGAATAGACAACTCTATTTAGTAGATATTGAATGCAACTGAACTACATCGTATCTATTAGAGGTTTTATTCATTACACAGAAAGATCCTTAATTACTCAAAAAATTATCTGAATGCCGACTATTCTATAGCTAAAATGTAGTGTGAATCTTGCTCTTTCCAACTATACAAGAATTTGTCTTTTATTGTATTTGCCTTTTGAATGTTAGATTTCAGAAGAAGGCCCGGTTTGAGAGTCGGCTAGCTCGAAAACTGACCGTCTGAATTTCTTGAAACTTTCTTTCTAAAATGTACTGACCTGCTAATCTCACCATTTCTTCGTCGAATTGAAATTTATAAGAGATCTATGTCTTAATATATTATGGGAGGAACTTCCGAAAGTTAAACCTCTGTTGTCCTTTAGATCCGAAAGTCTAATAATAATGTACCACATGTATTGCACAAATACCTATTGCCATGGCCAAATAACTCTGCTACCGTGACGAAATTTTGACATTTTGCTGTGTTTATATTTTTTTGGCTGACAGCAGCTTTCAAAATTTTGTCGCGAATTTCCCTCCGATAGCAGAGTCATCTGGTCGCGCCACTATGAAAAGAGATGCAGCTGGTGAAATGGAGCATTATCATGATAAAGAAAATGTGGTCTAAAATCTAAAGTTGTTTGTCCATTGTTCTTCTATTTCACTACGTGGCAATATTTTTATACAATAGGGGCTGGTGTATTGAAGATATGAAGGAGTGAATAGTTTGATCGATTTAATGATTGTCGCACACGTTTTGTATCATTATGTGGAACTGGTTTTATTGTTGATAAAATTTCAAGTGCTCGTCTATAACAGTTATAATCGAGTATTTTATCATTACAGTTGAAAGAAATATTACCAAATAATTCATAATTATTGGCAATTAGTTTGCACTTCACTCCTTAGTTGACTATCTCAAGTCTCGTCATCGATGTTGTGCAGTAATTCCATGCTTTGCCATATTGATGTAATTTTAATGCAATATTTCCTAAATAATTTCCTCGAGTTCATGAGTATCAACCTGATTATTATAAATATTTAATGCTATTGTACAATATTGAAATGCTAATTCATATTGTTCATTTTTATAACATAACCAACCAATGAATTGATTTAATAATGCAAATTTTGTTCCATTATCAGGCCTAATAGAGTCTTTGAATTCTAAAAGTTTTTTACAATGCTTAATAGCTAAGTTAAATTATTCGGTTTTAAGATAAATACGAGTAATTGAACGATCGATGCCTATATTGGAATAATATTTATTAGGGAATTCGCTTTGTCTTATAGATAATGCTTCATAGAAATGTTGAAATGCTTTAGGATAATTGTTTAATTCAGTATAAACTTTACCCATAGCCTGATGTAATTCATATCTGCCTAAAGAATTCGAAAATTCGTTATATATAGTTAATGATTGTATGTAATGTTTGATAGAATATAGATAATTTT